TTTATTATTTTTTTTTTTCTATGCGTGTTTTTTTTTTTTTTTTGTCACTAGGGGTCTTTATGTTTGTTCCTTCTCTTGTTTGTCATTGTGGTTGTTGTGGAACTTGTGTTCGTTCCTGTCACTGTCCATCTTTTACAGGTTGATTCGTCGGTTGTTCAGTAACTTCGGTCGAGTTCTTTGTCGTTGGCGTCGAAGTTCGTTTCAGTTCACCCCTTCTGCGGATTTCATTCGGTCTCCACAACATGTCTGACCCTCGAGGCAATAACGGGAAGGGCCCCGCTGAGTCCTCCTCGGCAACGGGGAAAAGGGCGGAGGGTAGTAGAAAAGGTCACAAGACGAAGACCTTTGACTCCCCTTTTAAGGTGGATCCAAAGGCGGATGGAAAACGAGATAATCCTGTTTGGCATTTCGTTGCTCATGGTCGTTATTTAGATGGATCCATTGTGATAGGGAGGAAGAACGGTCGCCGTTGTTTGTGCAGGTTATGCGGTCGTTCTCTGTGTGGGGGTGCTCGTGAGGCCAAGGAACAATTTTTTTTGTGGCGAGGGGTATAGATGCCAAGTGGCCACTCCGGCGGTGTGGCACGCGATTTGGTCAAAGGATATGTCCATATGTCCTGCACATTTGGCTTCTACCGTGCAGGCCTTGCAGAGTCTCCCTCTAGGTCATCCCTCTTTCCAATGGCCACCTCTTCGTTTCCCCGATGACGTCGTTCCGCCGCCCCCGTCGACCGCTGCCCCCTCGCAAGTGGCGCCATCTCTATGTGCACCACTTGCTCCCCTCCCCCCTCGTCCGCTTCGTCAGATGATTCCCACATCCGTTGATGGCAGACCATCTGTGGCAACGCAGCCTGATGCGCAAGGCACCGTGCCAGTTTCAGGTGTCGGGGAACCTGTGTCGTTCAACGAGCAAGGCACTCGTGCTTTCGTCGAGGGCGGTGGGTGGGGGAAGGACACTGGCACATCATCAGGCCTCGCCCCGTTGTTCACTGGCAATAGGGACAAGGTCCCAAGAGTTCGACGCACATACACACGTCCGGCCGTGGCAGGAGCACCCGCAACAGGACATCAATCCGCTGCGTATCCATGGTTGCCTCCCCCTTCTTCGCAAACACGACGGCCTACACCAGACTTGACTTCGACACTTGTTGGCGAGGCCGCTGCAATGGCCACTGAGGGTGCGGGAAATGTCCAGCTCGACGAGCCCGTCCAGGTTTCGGATTCGTCACCCACTCCTGTTCCCGTGAACGGCCCGACCTCGCAGCACGGTGTTTTTGGGACACTGGATCCTTTACAGAATCTGCGCAACATTGCAGCTCCGAGTCTAGGCCCCACCGCATCACCTGCGGCCGGGGGCGGGGTGTGGGATTTGCTAGGTATGGGCGCCGGTGCACGAGTGAGGGGCACTTACAGGCAGCAGGCGGTGACCTCGTATTACAACGACCCGCTGGAGCACGCACGGCACCTGCAGATCATGCGATTCATTGTCGAGAGCGGCATGCCGTTCAACTGCATGAAGCTTGAGAGCTTCAAACGCATGTTGACGTTGATCATCTCACCTGGGGTTCCAAGAGTCCCCACCCCAAAACCCCCAACGTATCACATGATCCGTACCACACTTTTGGATGAGCTTGATGTGGAAGTCCAAAAGTGTGTGAAACCTTTCTTGCTACTGCAGCTACTTACGGTTGCACGATAATGGCAGACGGTTGGAGCAACATTCGGGGCCAAACGTTGTGCAACTATCTCTTCGGCACTACACGGGGCGCCACATACGTCGCGACAGATGTTATGCAAGGAAAGAAGGATGCCACTGCTCTGGCGCAGGCTTGGCTGCGAAGGTTGAAGTCCCTTGACATCAAGCTCGCCGACATCACCGCTTTCGTCACAGACTCTGCCAGTTCGAACGTTTCTGCGATGGAGGTGTTCCAGAAGGATGAGAGTGTCAAACACATCTTCTGGATTCCTTGTGTGGCACACGTCATGGACCTCATCCTTGAGGACATCGGCGGCATTTACTGGGTGGCGACCCGCATTGCTCAGGCGCGTTTGGTCATAAAGTTTTTCAAGCGTCATAGCCACGCTCGCGAAGTTTTGCAAGCTTTCACGACGAAGGCTCTGCTGCTTTCCGCCGAGACTCGCTTCAGTACGCATGTGATTATGATGCGACGACTTCTTCTGCTGCAATCGCGTCTTATGCAGGTGGTCGTTGATGATCGATGGAAGGACACTGTTTGGTCAACGAAGAAGATTCGAGACGACGACGGGGAGATCACAGCATGTGTCGGTTGTCCTCAATGGTGGGAGGATATGAGAGCGGTGTGCAAGTTGTTAGATCCCATCGTGGACATGCTGCAGATGATGGACAGCGACACGAGGCAGATTGGCAAGATTCTGCATAGGTACGACGAGATGATCGCGCGTTGTTTGTCTGCATGTGCCGCTTTGGAGATGGACGAGCAGGATGCGCTGCTTGAAGTGTTTGACAGACGCCGCACCATGTTCAAGTCGCCTGCTCATGTTGCTGCCAYGATGTTGGACCCCGAGTTTCGAGACCGCACGATGCTAGATGACGAGGAGATGCAGCACGGTTTGAAACTCGCTCTGATTCAGTTTGGGTACCCGGAACATTCGGATCAGCACAACGAGGTCCTCACTGCCATTGACAAGTTCCATTCCAGGGAGCCGCCGTTCGACGACGTGGCCATGGACCGGGCGGCGAGGAGCTATACCCATCCAGCCTGTTTCTGGGAGTCGAAGGAGAAGAGATTCCCGCACACGGCCTTCTTCGCTGGCAGGATACTGCGTGTGTGGGCGACTGCGTCGCCTTCCGAGAGAGCTTGGTCGCGTTGGAGTTACATCCACTCCAAATCTCGTAACAGATTGGAGGTGGCGCGGGCCAAGAAGCTCGTGCGATGCCATTGGAACCTTCGGCTCCTCGACAGGCAGGCTATGTCGGACGATGCTCCCAGTGACAGGCCACATCCGTATGGGAGCTGGGTGCGCTACTGGCAGCAGGTGATGGAGGAGGTGCCCACCGACCAGCAGCTTGTGGCAGACCGAGGAGCCCGTATGACGGTCACGAAGGAGGAGTTCACGCAGGCGAGAGAGAGGATGCGCGTTGTGTCCCGCATGGGAGCCACTCGTCGCTTGCGGGAGTCTGACAGGAGGAGGTATCGTGGCGGCGGTCGCGGAGGTGGTCGTCGGGGCGGTCGCGGGCGAGGCGGGCGTGGAGGTCCTGGCGGGAGGCATAGTGTCGCGAGTCGTGGAAGGGCAGTGGACGAGCTAGTACGCAAGCCTCGACAGCGATGGGATGAGGGAGACTTTTTGTACAAGAGCTCGTCCAGCGATGACGAGGATTTCTTCGGGACTGGCAGGCCTGCACAGGATGGCGACAGCGATTTCGACGACCGTCACCTAAACGTGGGCGACAATGATGGCGCCAGTGGCGATGATCACGGTGACGGAGGAGATAGGCCACGACCTGCACATGGCGACACGATGCGCGCCGACGGGGCAGGGGGCGAGCACCGCACAGCAGTAGATGATGCTCGAGATGGAGTGCATGACGATGGTTCACGACCTGTCTCGGGCGGTGACCTGAGGCGCTTGAAACGCGGACCAAGGGAAAAAGACACTATCGCTTCACGTGTGCGCAAACGTCATGGTGGGGTTGCTAGCATTCCACTATCACAAGTCCCCGCAACAGGGCAGATTCCAGTTTCTGAGGACTCTTTMAGCGATCACGGCGGCGAGGAGTGGATCGAGCTGCATGGCGGGAGCGGTCATCCACGAGGTGACACTTCGAGTATGCACACGACAGCTCCGATGGGGCCTTCCGCAGCAGTCCCAGAATCGCAACAGGGTCCAGCACTGTTGATGCGTCATCTCGAGGTTCAGGGAGAGATCAGTCCTCTCCCGGCAGTGCGGGACGAGGGTTCTGTCGGTGCACTGCATCCACTCACGTCTGCTGGAGCGGCAGTCTCAGTTGCAGCGACCTCGGATGTGGGACAACCACTGGCAGCGGCGGAGCAAGAAAGTATGCTCCCACCTCGCAGTGTTCAACCGCGGCCACCGCCTGCATTGATGGAGGGGAGTCAGGGGACCGTTGTTGTGTGTCAAGGCGATGATCTCCCGGAACATGATATCTCACACACTCCCGCAGCCGAGCAGAGCGCCGCAGACCATGTCGGCCTGGCATGCCCCACCGGCAGTCTTTCGGGTACTGGCGAGTTACTGACCATGGACTCTGCGCTCGTTTCTCTACCGGACTTGTCGACGTTGATATCCCCAGGTCTACCCCATGTGTCACCGCCCAAGCCACAACAGCCTGTTGTCATGGAGCGTGGATCGGACGGGTTTGACGTGGCAGGAGGCGATATCGCCGATATGATTACAAGCCCAATGGTGTCTGCCACGCCCACAATTTTTCGTGTTGGCAAACTACGCGAGGTGGCCCTTGGTTTGGCGGAGACGGC